AAAAAAAAAAAGAAAAAAAAGAAAAAAATAAAAGAAAAAAGAAAGAAAAAAGAAAAAAGGAAAAAAAAAAAAAAAAAAAGAAAAAAAAAAAAAAAAAAAAAAAAACAAAAAAAAAAAAAAAAAAGAAAAAAAAGAAAAAAATAAAAGAAAAAAGAAAGGAAAAAGAAAAAAGGAAAAAAAAAAGAAAAAAAAAGAAACTAAAACCCCGAGTTAAAAACCAAATGCCAGCAATCAGAAGGCGCCTGAGCTGCCTGAGTCCTGTCCTGTCACGAGTCCCTCCTCAGCTGGGATGTCCTTGCCCGGGCCCTGATCCTGGCTGTCCCCAGCCTCCCTCTGCAGCAGCCTCGGGGCTGTCTCCTCTTTGCCTCCCTCTTGCTCTGGCGGAGCCGGCTCTGAGGGGTGGCACGGGGGGTCTCCAGGGAGGCAGGGCTGGCTACATGCGGGAGGACGGGCTGGCCAGCTCGTAGAAGAGCAGGTAGGCATCGCTGCTGCGCACGTGGCTCGAGGACATGGGGGTGACGCTGCAGAGAGGGGGAGAGGAGAGCTGTGAGCAGCGGGGATGGGATGCCCTGAGCAGGGGGTCCCTGCTTGCTGTCCCACCCCTGGCTCACCGGGAGTCGTTGAAGCTGTGCCACTCGCTGGACACAGGGCTCTTGCAGTAGGCTGTGTAGTGTCCCCCCATGGTGGTGCCCGAGTGGTTGGAGACGGCGTAGAGGTTGTAAACGGCGTGGTCTGTGGGGAGCAGGGGGGCTGCTCAGCCCTGCTGCCCCACAAAGTGCCAGCGCTGAGCCCCCCACACTGCCAGCAGCTCCCGCAGTGGATTCTGTTCCTCCCATCCCTCACGCCTCTGCCCCCCGCCAGCTGGGGACACCAGGAGCCCAGGAGTCACCAGGAGCTCAGGGCTGGGATTAGGGGCATGGAGGGGCTGGGACTCACTGCAGCTCTGCGAGGCGAATTCCCGGAGGTCCAGGTCCTTCAGTGGGAAGTTGACGAAGGTGGTGAGTTTGCTGCTTCGTATCCTGGCCTCAGAGAAGCGTTTCAGGTCTGGAGGGTCACGTCAAGGAGCCAAAGGGACAAAGGGGAGCCTGCAATAATCCATCTCTCCCCTCCGCCCCAAACAGCCCCTGTCCCCGTCCCTCTGCCTGAAGGATACGAAGTACCAGGATCTTGGGGAACTTCTGGATGCTGAATTTTTTGGTGCACCTTGTCCTGGCTTTGCAGCGACAACATGTCTGTGGGAGGCAAGCAGCACAAGCAGGAGGGTGAGGGCACTGCCCACATCCTGGCAACACAAGCACAGAGGGGAAGGGGCCCCAGGGAGCCCCCCTGCCCCGTACCGGTTTCTCGTCCCCATCCAGCACGTCCTCTTTGGTGAAGAGCCGGAGGCAATCCATGAGCGTCACCTCCCCGTAGCCTTTCTGTGGCAGTACAGTGATGGTTAGGGACAGGGAGTGTGGGACAGGGAGCATGGGACAGGGATCCCTGGGGCTCCTTCACCTTGGGGATGGGCAGGGACAAGTCCCAGAAGGGGTCGAAGGCTGTGGAGCAATAGCCGCACTCACTGCAGGTCAGAGAACTCTTCAGCTGCCCAACGAAGAGGTCTGGTGGGGTGGGACAGAGCAGGGTGAGACCCCTGGTTCCCCACCCTGCTCCCAGCCCAGCCCTGTCCTCCCTTCCCCCAGCCCTGCTCACCGCTGATGCGGCTGTCCTCCCTCTCCTGGTACCTCCTCCACATCTGCCGGCTCTTCTCATCGTCACTGCAAGGATGGGGACAAGCAGGGCACTGAGCATGGCCTGAGGGACACCAGCCCCGCCACCCAGCCCGGAGGGACCCGTGTGCTCACTGTCCCTGGGCTGGCCTTGCGGGCAGTGAACTCTTGCGGGGCTGTGCAGTGCCAGCACTTACGGGAGGTGATCCAGGGTGTCGGTGCTGGCCCGGGGCCGCACCAGCACACGGTTCACCTCGCTGTGCAGCCCGTCCAGCAGGAACCGCAGGAATTCCTGTGCATCCTGCTGGCTGCAAGACAGGGGGCATGGCCAGTGAGAGGCTGCGGGGGGCTCGGCTCCCCCCACCACCCTGCACCCACCCCCCTCACTTGTAGCCGACAAAGCGTGGGGCGTATCTCTGGATCTGCGTCTTGAACTCGGAGGGGCTCACGCTCTCGTTGGGGGACGAGGTCCAGAGCAGCTGAATCAGCTTTGCAAACTCTGCAGGTAGAGAGGCAGGTCAGCAGCAGGGTGGCACGGCCATGGCCGCAAAGGGACAGCTCAGGGCCCTGATCCGCCAGGGCCAGGCAGCCCAAGGAGGAGCGTCAAGCTCTGAGTGGGGGTCCCGCAGGCTGTGGGGTGTCCCAGGGATGTGCTGCAGGGATGTGCTGCAGGAATTGCTGCAGGGAAGCCCCCGCAGCCACCAGGGGCCGGGGATGGGCAGTTACCTGACATGAGCGCCGTGCGCATGCGGCTGTTGTTGTTGAGGTCCCGCAGGTACTGGTTCTGCAGGCAGTAATCCCGCAGCTCCTTGGTGTTGCTCAGGCACTGCAGGATGGAGTTCATGAAGCACTGGGGGAGGCAGAAGAGAAAACCATGGCAACGGGGAGCAGAGGGAGGCAGGCCATGGCAGGGGGACAGCTGGGGCGGGTGGGCACAGGACAGGGATGAAACCGTGCGGAGCAGGAGAAGCTCCCCCTGCCCCACAGATGTTCCCAGTGTGAGCAGGAGGCCTGGGGACACACTCACCGTGTTGCCGAGGTTCCGCAGGCCGGTCAGCCCCTGCACGGCCTTGGAGCTCTGCAGAGAGAGGGAACAGGGCTGGAAGGGTGGCGGGCTGGCCATGCCTGTGGGCAGCCCAGCGAGGCCATGGTGCCACAGAGCTGCCCGTGGAGCGGACCCTCAGGTGCCAGCGGAGGCCCCATCCCGCTGTGACATCATGGGCAGCACCGAGCCGCTCTCGGGGCCAAGGGCCTGGTCACAAACCATGGCTGCCCTGCCCTGTCCTGCTGGCCCAGGACAACGCACAGGGCTCAAAGTTCTCCCTGACTGGCAACATTTTTGCCCCATGCCCAGGATTGCAGGTCAGGCTGGCAGCCCAGGCTGCCTCCCCTGGGGACACTGGCTCATGGCAGTGCCCTGGGCCTGCCCCTCGCTGCAGGAGGAGCACAGTGCCCTGTCACTGCCTGTCTGGTCCATG